AAAAAATAATTCCTCTGAGAAGATGGAATTCTATTACATCATTTTATTACGTTTAATTGCGTTGAATTTATTGAAAATAATTTTTAATTTTATCTCGATATATTGTTAGAAGAGAGGCACGTACAGTTAAATAATTATTGAATCGAATTAATTAAATATTTCTGAAAAGGTGAATCGTTGAACAATTGAAAATTAGCAATTTATTATATAATTTGTTTTGACGAGATGTAGAAATCTAAGCATATTAAATTTTAACGACTAAGACTTTAAAAATTTATTTTCTCCTCTTTTTATTAATATTCCTTTTTAAGAAGATATGTAGAAACTTTGTACAAACTTTTTTTCTATTACAGAAACGTAAATTATTTTCCAATCTTTTCGAATCGTTTTCCACGTGTATCCACGTAACCGTTGAAGAGCCATGAAATTAAAGATAAATTCCATTCCCTCCGATTAACACGGCCGGAGGAGCGATTTGTTAATTCGTATTTGAATGTCTGTTATCACGAACGGATATGGAATAAGTTATATTTGATCTGTGCTGTCGTTCTTTTTCCTCGGCTTCTTCCATTTCTATCGTTGAACTTCGCATAATACGCCGTCAAGTTAATTGATTGCGTTCATTTAAAATTCATCTACCTTCCGGCGGATGATCATTCTCGTTAATAATTAATCGTTTTCGATTAAACACACGTCGAACGACAGGAAGTCATTTAACATATTTCGAAATTTCTTTTCATAAATTATTATGTTTCTAACATAATAATACTATGTTTCATAAAATAAATAAATAAATAGCCACGTTTAAGAATAAAATTCTCGAAAATCATTCTCGATACTTATTTATTTATTTATTTTTTTTCATTATAAGATTCTTCAACTTTTGCTGTGAGATAGACATTTAGACGAAGAAACGTCTAAGGAGACCGATATTATTAAAATATTCAATGTAATTTAAAAAAAGGAGGATGGAAAGTGTATTTTATTCAAAATCTATTGATAGATTTATCGGTAGATTCTTACGGAGTGACGAAGATCAGAAAAATTTTTAAATATAAAAGAAGTTTTCAAAGTTTTTTCCCGCTTCTGAAAGAACACGAAAATTCGATTAACGCGAGATCAACATTTCCGCTGCTATTAACGCATGCGTTGTATTTCCATCAATTCTTTTCAATAACAAAGCTAACGCAGTTGTCTTCGAATGTTCATTATACTACGCCTTCACATTTTTAAAACGTAACGTACTCCAAAAAAGTCTTAACAAACGTACAGAGACTCCAACTATTCCACTTAAAAATATCCATCTCTCGTGTAATCGTATCGATATATACTTATATATCAGAATGAAATGATATATATCTTCCAAAAAAAAAAAAAAAAAATAAATAAAGATCGAGAAATGATGACATCATGACGAAAACACGCGTGGAATAAGGCTTAACCGTTTCCGGTTACCTCAGCCGGATCGTCATCACGGGTCTTTCATCGCGATTATATCGACTGCATTATTAAGTCGGCGTATTTCCGTGGCCGATGCTATCGATCTCACTCGAGTAGAGTATCTGTCGAGCGACGTGTGCGCTTTCTCTCGAAGCCAACCAACCCCCCTTCACCCCCCGAAGCCATTCGTCCCGGAACGAGGGGCTAAAGGCGGACACGCAGCGCTAAGCGACAGCCACTAACCGATTTACGATCGCGCAAGCGCGCTCACGAATCGTATGATACGATGCACTTTACCGGAACACGGGTCGAACCCCCCTTCCTCCTCCTCCTC